CACGAATTTTCCTTATTTTCTTTTTCGTGTGAGAATGAGTATTTTGATATACACGTAGATATAGAGCAAAGATATTGTCAGTTTGTTAGTGCTTTAGCTCGTGTAGCCCGCAGCTTGCCCTGCATAAAGAATAGCGACGAAGTCTAGCATGGTGTAGCAATGTGAGGCACGGCTTGGAATGGCGTGGCGTGGTGTGGCAGAGAGTGGTGTATGGTGTAGTGTGGCATTGGGTGGTGGTGTATGGCGTGGTGTGGCATGGAGTGGTGTATGGTGTAGTGTGGCTTGGGGTGGTGTATTATGGCGTGGTGTGGCATGGAGTTGTGTGCCTTGGAATAATTAGACATGGCGTGATATTGCAATGTATCCGTGGCGTGGAATGTTGGGGCATGGCTTGCGAGACAGTGTCTATTTTAGATCTGTCCCTCAGTGATAAAATTTGTGTGCCCCAAAATTTGGAACTGGTCCGGATATTGCCAATAACCCACAAAGGTTTGTACGCAGATAGTACGACTAGGAACATGACACCCCTATTGTTGGCAAGCTTATAGATGTCCTCCTTAAAAGACGTCGGCTTACTTAAATACAGTCCACAAAGCTTTCTATACGGACAGTTAATCCTACAATAAAATTATCTACGGATCAGAAAAGAATTTTACCTATATACTTCATGTCATTAAGACGTTTATGGTCCCAGTCTGTAGAATTTGACAGAATTCAATGTAAGTCGTTCAGCATTGATTTAATGGGTTTGTGCAGTGTAAAACCGCTTATAGCTTATCAATTTATATTTGAACTTTACACGAAATTTAAAAAATAAATCTGGCGACGACAGCATAGATCTAGGTAGAAAACCTTGTATTTGAGGATTTCTTTTTCAATTGTTACGCTGCCTTCAATGTCATGATAAAGCAATTTAAAAACTACGTTGACAGCGATGGCCTGTAAATCTGATGCAAAACAGATGGACAGATGAACAAACAAATAGACAGAGTTACCAAATAGACATATTGACAATCAGACAGACAGACATATAAACAGACAAACAGATAAATTGACAAACAGAGATATAAGCAGACATTCAGATAAACAGACAAACAGACATATAATGAGACGGACAGACAGACTGACAAACAAGCATAATATAGCCGGACAGACAGAAAGACTGATAGAGAGACAAACTGGCAGGCGGAGAGACAGACAGACGTACAGAGGCAGACAGAGTGATAGACAAACAGACATGCATACTGGCAAGCACACAAACAGACAGGTAGACACACATATAGACAGGCAGACATACAGGCACACAGACAGGCACACAGGCAGACAGACAGACAAACAAAACCAGACAGAAAAACAGACAGACAAATAAACAAACAGACAGACGAACAGGCTAACAGATACATACAGACATGCAGACAGGCTGAGAGAGAAAGAGAGAGATAAAGGGAGGAAGAGAGACAGAGAGCGAGAAACAGGGAGAGAAAGGGAGAGAGAGGAGAGAGAGGAAGAGAGAGAGAGAGAGAGAGAGAGAGAGAGAGAGAGAGAGAGAGAGAGAGAGAGAGAGAGAGAGAGGGAGGTAGAGTGAATATGTAGAACTTCAGCGGACCCCCCGTTGTTTTAACAATCAATGGTACTAAACGTCGTCGTTTCTCCAATAGCAACTTATAATACATTGTACTTCCTTCCTTCCTTCCTTCCTTCCTTCCTTCCTTCCTTCCTTCCTTCCTTCCTTCCTTATTTACTTACTTACTTACTTACTCACTCCTTCACTCATTCATTCACTCATTCACTCACTCACTCACTCACTCACTCACTCACTCACTCACTCACTCACTCACTCATTCACTCACTCATTCGTTTGCTCACTCGCTCATTTGCTTGCTTGCTCGCTTACTAACTTTCTTACTCTTTCACTCACTCTCCCACTCATTCACTGACTGACTGACTCACTCACTCACTCACTCACTCACTTACTTACTTACATACTTACTCACTTACTAACTTACTTACTTACTTACTTACTTACTCACTCACTCACTCACTCACTCACTCACTCACTCACTCACTCACTCACTCACTCACTCACTCACTCACATACTCACTCACTCATCACTCACTCACTCACTTACTTACCTACTTACTTACTTACTGACTTATTTACTTACTTACTCTCCCCCTTTATCGTCAGGCACACTGGGCAGTGAACAGTCGACGCCACCTTCGTCTGTTCCTGACCACTGCCCCTAGCTTTGGCACATCGAGGCCCTAGGTGATCGCTTTCATCCCTATTGGCACTCCTGTAACTACTTGTTGTTCAATCTCTTCTTCTTTTTCCATTTGGTATCCAGTACTATGTCTGACGAGGCACCCTTTGTTAATTGTTCATTATGTTAATACAGTTGAACCAGTCCCAAACTGCAAGACCAACATAGTTATAGATGGTGACTTCCTAAGCTGGAGTGTCCTTGAAACCTGTAATGTTACATTTTATGTGCCTTTAATCAAAAATTTTCAATAAAAATCCACGCAGGAATGCCCTTTTAACAGGACGTAACTGATGCTGAGCATAATTTTTTTTTTTAATTCGATAAAAATTGCCAGAAAGGTGGAACAATGTCGGTTTTGTCCCACACGTATTTGGGATCGCCTAATCTGGCTTGTGACTTGGACACGCCTGCCTATGTCTGCCATACACCATAACAATGAAAAGAAAAGATGTTGAATTGATGCATCAAACAATAACGTCTTGCTTCTTAAGGATAATGCACCAAGAACGTAGACTATTTTACTGAATTCTACGTTCTATTTTGAGAACTTACTTACATGATTAAAGTTCTTTATTCAACGTTGCGCCTTCCCGCCTTGTGATAGGGCATTACATGAGTTTTAAGCCCTTCTTTAAATCTTTGAGGGCACCTACAAGATCACATATTTGTGTCATTTACTCATATCAAATTTTGGAACGTTTAGATTGTTTTCACTTTGAGCAGACGTTACTTCTCGTATCGGTAACCACACAACAGGCTAAAGCACGCTTCAAATTCCCACTCTATGACTTCGTAATAAAGGTTCGAGCCAGCTGTAGACATTGATTCCTATTGTTGAGCTCCGTACAGCTGTGAATTAATAGTGCATGCATAAGATATTTGATTTTGTAGAATAAAAAAACCTGAATGTATCTGCAAGCAAGCTAAAAACACAGACCTAAAAAAGATCGTATTATTCATAATTGGGTAATATAGAGGAGAAAAAAGCCTTTGAAAATAATATGCATACGTGGTATATTTCGTAGAGTACTTACAGTTCAGTTTCCCAAATTTTAAATAATAGTTAATCTCACTGCAATTGTTGTTGACAGTATCAATTTAGAATAATCAAAGCAATTCAATTCAACTTGCCAGTACCTATGCAATAGACTGGAGGCGTATGCTTGCAGACCGCTGTGCTGTTTAAAGTTTGCATTATATTTACAACATGCAAATTTCAATATTAAATCATGATTGAATAAGTGAATATTGACAAAAGAAACTGATCAATCTCATGTGTATCTGAACAACTATATTATGTTTTAATGTTTTGGTTTGGTTTTTCAAACCGTAGATTATGTACCTTTTTGGCATCTGCAGCTCCTATACGTTGCAGGGAAATGTAAACTGGTTCGTTGTAAGTTGTGTGATTTGTGATACTAACACTTTGACTCTTCCAATGTAACTTACGTAACCTACTTTGCTCTTGCAGAGTTCCATTTACAGTGGACCATTATTATTTGGGTTGCCGTGAAGTCTTACACAAAAGAAGCTTCTAACTTTCTTTCTGGATAAAAGTTAATGGGATAAGTGTGTATGTGTGTGTGTGTGGGGGGGGGGTCGCATTTACAAATGCCAGTTGGTATCATGCTGGACAAGGGAGCGCATAACGCTGGTTCGAATCCCAGACTTGACTTTCTTGAACTCGGGTCTTTGTGTTGAGTGTTAAAGGTTCTTAACTCGTATAGCTCAGTTTCATTGGGGACGGATGTTGATTTCGGAGGTTCTGCCTCTTTAATACACTTATAGTGCGGTTAGGGCATTATACCCATACACTTACGATTAGTAAACTATGTAGAACTCAGGTAGATATGTGCTACCAGACTGTCAGCCAGGGGATCGGTGCAAGAAGCATAATAAGGTCAGAATGGGCTTAAGGGAAACATAGGGCTGGAACTTCTCTGGTTTATCACTGTTCCAAACATTTGAAACTTGAAACATACGCGCAGCTAAAATGTTGACAGCTTTCTTGGTGGTTGATGGGTGTTCTGGTGTGGTTTCTTTCTTCTTTCCTGTCAAATATTGGTCTTCCTTCTCTCTCCTTATATTCCTTTTTTTGTTTTTGTCACTCGCTAACAGAGACGCCGCTAATATTCAGCACTTACCTATTTGTGTTGCAAATGCTGTAAAAGTATTCCTAAAACGAAAACTGTAAGTAAAACTCACAATTTTTCACTAACTTGTCTCAGTGAATTCGTGGACGGACTGTTACGTCAGGGTCTATTGCCTTACCTCAGCTTTACCGTTTGTTGTTTTTTTAATGCACTTTGAATACATGGCACTTCAGGTCACATTACTTCTGCTAAAATCTTAGCGAAATAGCCACTGGAAACTGTGTTGATAGGGGCATAAAACAGCTGCTATTACAATCCCATTACATTCAAAGCCACTAGGTCGAACACTGGTTTGATTACTTCCTTTATATGCACACTACCGGGAGGAAAAACAGGCAAAGATTAAAGGTATTTACAACTTTTGCACGTGATTATTTATGCGGTGTATGAGGGAAAAGACAAAAATTCCCAAGTAAACTAAAGAAAATCCTCGGCACCGGCCCTACCGCCCCCAACATCCCCCCAAAAACGCCAAACACTTTCTTCCTCCTCAACAGATGTCCTTCTTTCGATCAATCTCGACACGCGCAGATTTACATTGATTCGCACGTGACTTAAGACGGACCAATGAGGTGATAATCCGGCCTTGAGTGAGTGAATTTATCCCTCACTCCTTCCCTCGGCTAGGGAGGTACACCGCTTGCGTCGAACTGGCGCTGTCGTGCCTATGTTGAGGTGAATTTTATCCCAACTGTAAATAGAACATAACTAGGAAAGCGGGAAACCTCATCTGTTTTACCCGGGCACGGCTGGATACGTGTCTCCATCGGAGAGAGCTCTTTGAGGTATGCTGTCATCATTATACTATACCAAGAGTCTGTCTTCACTGGCTTTTTCCGGATAATAATTTATGTATTTTCAAACTCGTTTATTTACAGTTTTTCTAATGAATATTATAATATGTGATGGCATTTATTTAGCGCTCAACCGTGATTTAAGTACACAGGCATATTCAAAACAGTGTTCAGCATTTCGCTTGAACTCAGGCATCATCACAAATAGTTCAGGGAAAAAACACCCAACCAAACACATTATAGTAAAAAATCATCATCATCATCATCATCATCATTTGGTGTTTTGACAATTCTTCTGATGTCGTTGAGTTTCTCAAACATCACACGCTGTGACCACCGACCGATTTTCCCATAGTCAGAAAATGTCAGCCGATACAAACACACATACACAAAGAAATACACATACACATGCATGCAAACAGACACATACATATTATATAATATATAAACAGTAAATATTATCATTCACTACACCCCCCCCCTCTCTCTCTCTCTCTCTCTCTCTCTCTCTCTCTCTCTGTCTCTGTCTCTGTCTCTCTCTCTCTCTCTCTCTCTCTCTCTCTCTCTCTCTCTCTCTCTCTCTCTCTCGATTTCTCTCTCTCTCTATCTATTTATATGTCACTCTCTCACTTTCTCTCACTCTCTCTCTCACTTCCTCTTTCTGTCTTTCTCTCTTTCTCTCTTTATCCCTCTATCCATATGGCTCTCTCTATCCATTTCTCTGTCTCTCTCTATCTTTCTCTCTCTCTCTCTCTATCTATCTATCCATCTATCTATCTATCTATCTATCTATCTATCTATCTATCTATCTATCTATCTATCTATATATCTATCTATCTATCTCTCACAGATACACCTACACACAGAGAGTAAAATCCTCAATGCCCTCCTGTAGTCACGAACGCCGAGTTTGAAACCACTAGCCCAGTTTTTCTTTCAAAATCAATAATAATATGTCATAGATAACATAAGAAGAAAATACCTTGGATATCACTCTCATTGCACGAAAAGACAAATGAAAAATGTTAAAGTTATTCTTTCGTTTAAGTTCACGGTATTATGTAAACGACACTAAAAGGTCTTTGTACTAGGATAACGGTACGATCTGGGTCGTTTTAAAGACCCCTGTAAGGATTGCTGCGTTATTTAAGAAGTCGGACCTCTTTAAGGATCGGTCACCTTTCTTCGATATAACACATTCACAGGGTTTGAGAGTCTTCTAATCTCCCTATCATAACTCAAGCTCATCAAAGTTCTTTGGGGGAGGGGGGGGGAGGTAGTTTGAACGAGGATCATTTGGATTGGAATCCAGCATGGTAACGAACATTTTGTGTACGTGGTCCGGTAAGAATAAAAGCATGATCAGGTACAAACAGTTAAACAGACTCTGAAAACATAGCGAAGTGGTTTCTTCTCAAAGATGTCACTTTGCTACATTAGAATTAATTGCAATGTGCAATCTGAAATCCTGGGCCGTTTTCAGTTACTAAGACTATAATAGTATGCTCTATCAAAGTTGTAAGAATATTTGGAGTCTTTAACAATATAATATTCAATTAATTGTATTCGAAAAAGCTTGACAGGTTGTTAAACTCAAAATGCTCAACGTCACATTTCTCAAAACTAGGTACTGAGCAGATAGAACTTTGTAACCCCGGTGTAGCGACTCACTATGGACGTCGGTACCTGAACATTGGGCTATGAAGGAATACGGATGAAGAGAGAAAAAAAGGGGAAGGGGTGTGTGGTGTCTGTGGGAGAAGCGGGTGCGTTGTCTTCAGATTTTTAAAATAAACATTAGGGCATCCCTGATCCCAGATACTAGCCAAAAAAAAAATATCGAATATTAATATTAACCTGCGAGTCTTATCGTATTTGTACAATTTTGTCATAATATGTATTATGTGTCAGAAACAACGATATCTGGAAACAGAATTAAAACTAAAATATAGATGCAGTTTAAACATGTCTTTATCTATACTGATAATAAATATAATGTTTATCATATAATCATTTTTTTAAATTAAAAAAAAGAAGGTGGGATAAGTGAAAGAATGCCTAGAGAGGCCCGGATTATTGTTTGGTTGAACACAATACACATGAAAAGCATAAAAGTAAGGAAAACGAAACTGTGGATTTATCATTATACACGATGCAAAAATAAAGAGAACTAACACGATTTGTGGAACTCTCGCGAGTCGTTGACTCGGAAGAAATGAGCGGGCAGGCAAGCCAGTGTGAGGAAGGAATGGTGCTAACTGAAAGATAAAATTTGTGGCATTAAAGCGTTGGGCCAGGTGAAATGACTTCGAGAGTCGAGTTTGGTGACTTCTGGGGGCCCTGAGCTAGATCTATAGAGACAGTTTCGGTTTCAATGCTTAACCAAAAACAAAGATAAACACAAAAACAAAACAAAAATGAAATAATAAACCAAAAAACTCTGATCACAATGACATGCTAACTAACCATTATAACCCGTATTATATAAAATCATATGACGTCTTCTTCTTCTTCTTCTTCTTCTTCTTCTTCTTCTTCTCCTTCTTCTTCTTCTTCTTCTTCTTCTTCTTCTTCTTCTTCTTCTTCTTCTTCTTTTTCTTCTTCTTCTTCTTCTACTTCTTCTTTTTATTGTTATTATTATTGTTTTAATTATTGTTTTTTATTATTACTGCTATTTTTATTATTATTTTTGGTATTATCATTAGCAACTGGCGTGCCATTAGCACGACAACCTAGCCTGCGGCTTAGATTATAAGGGATCGTTTTCGACCGTCATTACAGTAATTGCGACTAATTGATAACAGTCTTGCTGTCACTATATTAATATATTTGGAATATTTTCTCTACTAAATGGAAATGTATGTATACATTTCACTTTTTGGAACCCCTTTAGGATTTGATTTAATAAATTTTCAACACAAAAAGCCCCCCCCCCCCCCCCCCCCCCCCCCACTAAAATTACATTAATACAAGAATGCATAAAAAATACACAATACATACAAACACACTCCATGCTCCATTGCTGGTCGCCACTGTTTGTTTTTTTAGGTATTTTTTTAGATAGGGCAATTGTGACCACCTACCAAAACACCATGCCACCAACACTCGCTTAATATTATTGTAAGGAATAAAATGGGGGAAAAATGAATTATAATATCCTAGGCTGGGTTCTGTCATGGTCGTCACTCTGCTTTCTGTGGAAAAAAAAACAACTTGTTTGAGCCAAGGATGCTCGAATGAAAAAAAAAAGGAAAATACCATTCTTGCTGTAGCTGAGTAAATGCACAAAACTTTTCTCTCCTTGGCATTTCATTAGCTTTCAAATAGACTAAAATGGTTTGCCCAATAGCGAAACGGAATAACGCCAAAAGTATTACGTCTTAAACAATATTATGATATAAGCGTATTTTCAGAGAACATTAACCGCTCAACCAGAAAAGCTCACTACAAGTGTTTTGTGGATTTCTTTAACTTTCTTCTCGTGTATGTTTGAACCTATATTATTGAACAGCGGAAGTTCACATTCAATTCAAAAGTGGACTTGGAAATCATTGTCTCAATTTTGAAGAATTTTATTTTTATACACAGCGAAGGAAACATTCATATTTATTAATTATTTATTCAGCATTTTAAAAAATATTTTTAAAAACCCACTGACTCCGTCATGTTATTAGAAATATTGAATGCTACTTTCGTTCGAATTGTGAAGTCTGAAGATGGTGTTTGTGTTTTTGTTTTCTTTTGTTTTGTCTTCTAGCGACCCAAAGGTTAGTGCTACCAGCATAATACATATTCATTAATAAACATTGTTTATTATTATTATTATTACTATTATTATTATTATTATCATTATTATTGTATTATTATTATTATTATTATTATTATTATTATTATTATTATTATTATTATTATCATTCTGTTGTTGTTGTTGTTATTTTATCATTAGTGTTATTATCTTATCATTATCTATTACTATCCTTATTATTTTTATTATTATTATTATTATTATTATTATTATTATTATTATTATTATTATTATTATACGTATTATCATTATTATCATTATTATCATTAGATAATTTTTTTAACGATTATTATTATTACTTTCCAAATTATTATTATCATATTACATTTTTAACACAACTTTAATACTGTTGTTTTCATTATCATTATTGCTATCCCCGTAATCGTCAGCAAAAAGTAGTACTTTTTGTGTTACCATCTCCAATAGAACTGTTCATTTCTGTCGTTATTGTAAGTGCAATAACTTTATTACCCATACTTTCAGTTTTCGAGGACTGATATAATTCTATTGTCATCTTGCCATTCTTACTTTGTAAACTTCGTTTTTTTAATCAAACAGTTAAGCGTCGAACGTTTTATTTTATTAGTCATTTTTAATTTCAGAAATAGTCTCCAGCTTTTTTTGGGGGGTGGGGGGTTCTTTTTTAGTCGAAATCGTATTGTCCCTTTGGTCCTTATCATCGCCTGTTGGTAGTCTTTCGTTGCCGAAGATGACGGTGAAATCCAGCAGCTCATTTGTGGACGCGCATGTGGCTGTGCAATCCGATCCTGGATGTACAATGTCTTGTGCAGTGGGAACACTGGAATGTCGTGGTTGGGGTGGTTGGATTATGTCTCCTCTCTCTTGTGATAGTCAGCTTCTCCCTGTAGTTGGTATCGCTGTTTCTGCTGGCAAAACGGACGGCCCCAGCTATTCTCATTATGCCTGTTATCGTGTTATGTATCTGAGATTCCCAACATACTTGCGGTTATTACCATCCCATGGTCTCCGAGAAGTGGAAACCGGCGTCCGTGGTCTAGCGGTAAGACTCTTTGCTGTTACATTCAGTTCCAGCTGTGAATGAAAAGAGCTTGGAGGCAATCGGTAACAGGCCCCATTTTTGTCATTCTCTGGTTTACATCTTTCCGCACGAGACAGAAGAGGTCAATTTTTTCCTCAATCAAGTTGCTACCCCCCCCCCTCCCCT